CAAGACAAACAAAAAAATTAAATAATTTTTAAATTAATAAGAGTATTGTGCTCAAATTTTGAAGAAATATTCAGACATGTAATAGTTCAGACATAATAATAGTTTATAATATTTGAACATTCGTGATAATATTATAAGTCATGATAATATAATTAAGAGAAAAATAAATGACGAAATTAGTAGATGATTTGATAGACGCAGATAAGATATCAATTTATTCATTAGGGTAACTCCGGTATATACGCCGCGCTGGGATTTACGCCGCGGAAGTCAGAAAAAATAGAAGGAGTAGGAGTAATTTTCTCGCAACTACTCTGTTACATGTCTTTATGTTATATTAGTATTGAGTTATAATTTCAGCTTCTTACTGTTAATATTAATGAAATTATTGTGAGTTGAATCGATTTGTCGCTGTGTGTGTAACAAATAGCATCATCATAAATTATAATCTACATAAAATGATTATTGTAAGGCGTGTAAAAGACCTAGTGGTTATTTCGTAATACATACGTGTAGAGGAATAATAAAGCATGTTGTATAGCAAAATACATGTGCTTTGCTTTCGTATTCTTTGTTTAGTTTGTTGAAACCCTTGCATTTTTGCCATATATCCCACCCATTATCTATAATATATATAGCAAAAATGCAAGATTTCAAAAAGTTTATTTTTTAATACGAAAACTAAATATTTCGGATTTCTAATATTTTTTTCATAGTAGTAGACAGTACAAAGTTTTTACTGATATAGTTCGTTTATTTTAAACATAGTAAATAATACTTAATAAATTAAGTTTTTGATAGGCGCGGCGTATATACCGGAGTTACCCTATTCGTTATGTCGCGCCTAAACTTTCTTTCCTCCACTTTCTCAGTAATATCGTAGTTTGCTCATTAATGCACGCATTGATATGCTTACATAAGAGATGGAGCACATTTACGTATGTTTACTACGAGATACAAAACATATTTATTCCTGCACGATAGATTCGCGTAAATCCAGATTCCTTTTGCTTTACTTGAATGTCTAGTCCATCTGTGAGAAAGCAAAGAATTTTTCTTTGCTTTTTCGCGGGATATCTCCGGTCACTCAAGCACCCCTAATCGGAAAGGTCGCGAGACTCGGCTTTGGACTTTCCCCGGAAACTATAATAGTACTTTGCTCCATGCTAGAATATCACGTAGGTGTGTTCGAGGGTCGATTAACCGGTAAAAATGTCGGCTTTTGTGTGAGCACGAAACGCACGACTACACACGACGCGTGAATGTCGTTCAGGAAGCCGCCGAGCTGGTTTCGAGAAAATATCTGGGCGAACCTATATTCGAGACACCCATTCCTCTGAAAAGATTTGATACAAGAAATTTTCAGGAATAATTTCTCAAGCTCTATCCATTCATTAAAAGACTATTTTGTTTTATTATTTTATTATTGAACGTTTAATTAATAAAATAATTAATTATTAACATTATATAAAGAAATAAAACAAAGTGGGACAAGATGTCTTCATTTGAATCACTCATATATTTTTGACACTAACCAAATAGCCAAATATTTTAATCAATTACACAAAATTTTATCATCCATTCAAATTAATTGTCTGATACAGCTTGCTGATTAGTTGCAAAATAAAATTTCTATAATTATGTATGTATTGCTAATGCGCATCGACGCATTCGCAACAATAGTAAACATAGACTTGGTTGACATTGACGGGCTAATTTGATAATGATATGACATAATATATAACATATGCGTAAATTGCGCGACTTGTCACTTGAGGAAGTTATCTTGGGTTTTGTTTGTAAACAAAGAATCCCCTTCAGGAAGCGATAATACATGTGGTAAACTCGTTTTCCTCGGCCCGCTGTAAATGAACTTCGAAATCGCGTATAAAATAGTTACAAGTTACATATTACTTGATGTGTTAAGGTTTAGATATTATCTTTTGTTCCACACAATTCTAATCTTTCTAAATAGAATTTTTCGCTAATTTCATGATAAAATATGTGAACAAGTTCCTGGTTAATGTCACAATTATATCGATTTTTTTTTGCTGGAAATATGATAAGAAAGATACTGATAAGAAAGGAACAAGAGTTCATTTATAGACCATAACAAAGAGATTTGTTCTCGATAGTTTCCACTATCAGGAAGATTTTATCATCCTAGTGCCTAATTTCTTTACCTCTAGATAACTTTATTCAAGAGATGTCTCCCAGAATACAATGGAGATATCTCCTGGATAAGGTTATCCGCAACTTATCTGGAAGTGAAGAAATCGGGCATAGATAAAATTTTTGTTAAAATCTAGCACGTAATGAAAAAAATAAAATCTCTATTGATAGTTTTTTCCTAATTTACTTGTAATGTGTCAGTTTATATTTAGATATTATCTTTTCCAATTCTAATCTTCTGATTAAAACTTTTCGCTGGTTCACGATAAAATGTATGAGAAGTTCCTGGATTGGAACACAATTATATCAATATTTTTTTCCGGAAATACGATAGAAAAGATACTGATAAGCAAGCAACAAAAGTTCTTTATAGACCATCACAAACGGATTTTTTCTCGATACTTTCTATTATCGGGAAAACATCTGTGATTCATAAAGAATTTGAATTTAATCTGAATTATTTTGCATCGCGATTATTCTCACGTATGATGAACGTAACTTTTTTATCACTTTTGAATAAAGTTTTTGTTAAAATCTAGCATGTGGTGAAAAAAATCAAATCTTTATTGAGAGCTTTTTCCAGATTTACTCTCTAAAATTTTTGCAGTGGAATCTAAATCCTAAAAATTAATAATTAAGCCACTCTTTTTCAACACTACATTGGCTCAATTATCACCCTTTGTCATTCTTTAGAATTACACTCTTTAAAATTACACTTCAAAGATTTTAGAGAGTAAATTTGCTAAATGTAAAGCTTTAATTAAAATTAAATCTTTATAGAAACATATTCTCGCAAATCTGTTTTTCAAGAAATCAAATTTGTTCTGAAATAACAAATTATTTGTCTGAATCGCGAGTAATAAAAATGTAATTCTATCTTGTAACGTAATTAACCTTTGTTATACTTATTTGTATTCATGTCGTCAGAATCAAATCATAAAGTTAACAATGAAGTGATGAATGTAAATAAATGCCTTTCAGATATAGATGTTTACAAGTTACGGATATTCGCGAGACGAAATACACGGCTACAAGCAACTCCCGGCTGCAAGGAGAATGTCCAGACTTGTTGCAGACATGGTTTCCGAACAGCACGTCTGTTCAATGCGTCTGCGACTACTGCATCACGCGCTTGCAATGTATGTTCGAAATTATTAACGTAATTTCGGTAAGATAAATTTATTATGTATATCATTAAGATTCTTTATGTTACATAAGCACAGAAAATCGCATTTCACTCTACAATCACAATTTTTATTTTGACATGAATTAAAGAATTATTTTCATGTCGACATATTATTGAAAAAAATCCAAACTTATCATAATAATACCGGCTTCAATATTATATTATTACACGTATATTTTCGTCAAGTGCCAAGCACGATAATGTATAAAGGAAAATTTCATGAATATATCTCATGTGCCAAGATACAAAAACTATTTTAGTTAGTATTGTAGATAAAATTAAATATATAAATTATGTAATAAATATTCCCTTGGGAAAATAATAAATTACTTTAGAAAATTAAAAAAAATATTTAAAATTTACTGTAGAGAAAATCTAAGAAATAAAGGTAAATTTGACCACTTTAAACTTTTCTTTTTAAGATAATTTTAAAACTTATTTAAGAATAACTCAAAGAAACTCTCTAACGCGCTGTACTAATTACATTGTATTGAAGTTATCTTTAAAAACTTTTAAAATTTTAGGTTATTTTGGCTTAACCTTTTACACACTTTAAATTACCTCAAAATTTTTTAAGTAAACTTTTAATTACTTTTAAAAACTTTAACTTCGTTAAAAATAAATTTTCCCAAGAGTTAAATAACGTAATACATATAGTAAATAACAGAAATGTGTGTTTTGTGTAGGTGTGTGTGTATTGTGTGAATAAATATAAAAGTTAACATTATCATATCTGCACTAAAAATTGAGAACAAAAAATTGCCAATTTCAGTAAAAGTCTATCTTTTTAAATGTCACAATTTATTTGCGAAAGTAAATTATGAACGTTGCTTGCAATTAATTGCATAATTAATTAATTATGTATTATTAATAAATTTTTTAATATTAATTACGAGTTATTGAAATTTCCTAATATATAACGTTAAATGATATTATATCATTATTTTATGTTTTATATACTGAAGATAGTCGCATCTTGGCCGAAACGTTTATGTTTATTATTAGTTTTGGATTGAATTTTAAACATATGACTTTCGCTAACAATATCCTACGTGTGACTATTTTGCTTTTTTATTTATATATTGTATATATTTGACACGTTTAGTAAATTTAATTTAAATGGCATTATATGTAAGAATTATATCATATAATGTCATAATGTGGCAAAAAATAATAAATAAACTAGAGTTAGAAACAAATTAGAACTAGAAACAAACGAGAGGAAGAGAGAGAGAGAGAGAGAGAGAGAGAGAGAGAGAGAGAGAGAGAGGAGCACAATTCAAGCTATTAATTATTTGCCAAGTGATTTAAAGATAAGTTTGCCATGAGTCTAAAATTAAACTATTCTTAAACGTATCTAAAAAGATAATTAAGAAATAAATAAAACAATAAAAGAAAAAGCTACCTTACGTAATATAATTTTAAATAGAACTCTGTATTCAATTAAATAAGAAAACATGCTAGGAAACTTTTTTTTAAATTAATTATTAACTAATTATTGAACTTAAATTCAAAATTAATAAAAAGTGCATATTGGCGAACCGGACATTATTATTACCGCGGAAGTTTGCAGATTTAAATCACCCACGCGCGGAATGTCAATGAACGATAGAAAACTGTGAGTGAAGAACATGTTACTTACTAATTTCTCGCAGTAACGACAGACTCCTCAGACGTGACGAGGAGCGGATTTAAATAACTCTCACGGGCTCTTCACTTCTCTTTCTCGACGCTACCAACGTCCTTTTTGTCCTTTTCTTCACGCGGTATCTTCTTGTTTAATCTTCTTACTCCGTGGAACGTCAGGATCAAATTGTCAATTGCAGTTACGTATGCTTTCCAGAAGAAACAATTTCTTCATATAATCATATGTGGCATCGCGAATTAGTTGGATAGCATCACGATTGAGAATTGCACGGGGTATAACGAACGGAAGAGTCCTTGTGTAAAAAAAAAAACGTCAGTCGCGTTTAGTTTAGAGGATCAGCGGGGAACGATTGAACAGTTTCTCCTCTTCACGTGATAATGACCGCAGTGTAGCGGATCGCACGCCTATCTATTACCGACTCCGACGCGCACGACCAACAGAGGTGGTCTTATCTCACCGTCGCGTCGCTGTACCACGACAATCGGACGTTTCTCGAAGAAGTCGCGAGAAACCCGCGATATCATACGCACGCGAAGGAGAGAAGGAGAGGGACAGAGAGAGAGAGAGAGAGAGAGAGAGGGACAGAAAAAGAAAGAAAAAGAGAGGAGAAAGAGAATGCAACCCCTCGGTTCGGCCGGCGCGCCGATGATCGCGCGCGGTACCGTTCCACGTTACACCACGTTCGACACGCGTTTGAACGCGCGATTTGAACGCGCGGCCGCGAACACCGGCACCGGCCGGCGCGGCTGCGAGTGCCGCGCATGCGCGCCCGTCCACTTTGCGTGACGTTCACGTGATCGCGACACGTACGCGAATCGGAGCATTCGGAGCTGCGCGCGTGCCGCGTGTTTCGTGTGCATTCCTGCGCTGCAGCCGCTTGCCGCTAATGCCGCTTGGCTGTTCGTCGTACGGAACCTGCGAGAACCTTGTCCGATCAGCCGATTCTCTGTCGTCGCGTCGACGCCATGATCGTTCGTTTTTCGACGGCGCGCGGAGACGTGGGGAACACCCGATCCCAATGTCGCGCCGCGTTGCGTCGCGCCGGCTCGCGTGACTTCTTTTTTTCCAGGAAAAAAGAATTATTTCGATACGTTTGTCGCGGGTCATCCTCATCCTCTTTCCCCGCTGCCTCGTGTCAGATACGATGCACGTGCTTGGCGCAACTTGGCGCCGGAGTCGACCTCGCGAATCCGCACGTGTAACTCTACTCGGTCGGGCACCCGGCGCTTAAAATCCACGGTCGGAGTTTCCTTGACGGGCTTCCGCGGAATTTACCGTGCACGCAGTGGAGAGGAGCGTATATTAATAAACTCGGCATACAGTAACGCATACGTCCCATGATAAAACAGGTGTCGTCGACGCACCAGTTAGAGCTGGATACGATGACTTGCGCGAATATATTTTTAGCGTTAACAACCAATCCGATTATCAGTGATGCACCGTTATTTTCTCCCCCCCCCCCCCTCTCTCTCTCTCTCTCTCTTTCTCTCTCTCTCTATACCCCGCAACTCGGAATATTCATTTTCGCGAAAATGATAACATTTACGTTGCGATTTTAAATGTTACAAAGTGGTATGTCATTTCGTCTTCGGCGGAGCGAAGCGCCATACGATACTCTGTAATTAGCGGAGAAGACACATTAGAGTGATAATGAAAAGCCGTGGAAAATAATATTTATTACAATCCACAGCGTCTGTTTTTTTCTTTTTTCGCTTTTTTCCCCAATGGAATACAAGATAAATGAGCAAAAAGATATCGCGGGCAGGAGATTAAAGTGCCACTTGGTCGCGCCATTGGTCAAAAGGCGTCGATTCATCGAACGATACCCGCACGACACGTGCATACGGGTCACGTTAATACAATTTCTAAAACATCCGACGCGTGTAACTTTCCGAGGTCTCTCGAAGAGACGTACACTGATGGAAGAGTGATGATCGCAAAACGCAAAATACGAGCGATCAATATTAGTCGCCACAATTCAATTTTTGTGAATTCCCGTCTGGACGCTGTATCAGTCGAGCCGGACTTGTTTTTGCTCCGAGCGATATCCTCGATATCGCTGAAAAAACGCGCGAAATGATACCCTTTTACAGTTTAGAGCTTAGCGTTGCATTACTCTCATGGAAAAATTGCACGACTTTCCACAAGGGTTTCTCGTGTAATTGAAAAAAAAAAAAAAGAAAAGATAAAAGACAACTAGTAAAAGATATTCGCTGTTGCACGCCGAAAACACATGTCGCGAATGGATATTCTTATGCAAATTATTCTTGACGTGACACGCTCAGACGTATTACATGGGATGTGTTGAAGTGATTGTAAATTTAATAGCGTGTATATATTCATTAACAGTAAATTCGCGACTGACTAATCTCTCTCCTTCAACTTTATTTTATTGTAAAAAAAGCACAATGTATTTAATATCCAGACGTCGGACTTCGAGAAACGTAAAATGCTTCCATCTGCTCTTATCTAGTTATAAGAAAGTTCGATGTAAAAGATGCTCAAATTGATATAAATTATGATATCACATATTAACAGTAAAGTATATTCCACTACTGATTAATCTCTCTTCTTCAACTTTATTTCATCGTGAAAAAAAGAAACTAAAATTTTATTTATATAATATTAAAATTACGGATTTCGTGCGACATAAAATGCCCCCATTTATTTTTGTCTAATTATAAAAAATATTTCAATATAAAAGATACTCAAGTTGATAACACCAAAAAGAAATGGAGCAACGAGTAAATGATAAGCACAAATATTTTCTCTTTTCTTCACGAACGTATCATAAATGTACACCGTGTGTGTGCTTCAATAATTTATCTGCTATATAACGAAGCGTATAATCAGATATGTCATTATACATTAAGTAATTCATATTAGCGATGCATCGTTTGTACATTCTCGTAATGTTGCGCATGTACGTTTCATATATGAGTTGTGAAATCGAAAAATTTCCGCGAATTATGTAACGGCTCATAAAGTATTATAGACAATTTAAAACGTAAAGAATAGTCATGACGTTGTAACTTCGTGGATTAAAAATCTACACTGAAGAAGAAGAAAGTATAGATGATTAGTAGACAACTAGGAGGGATACGTGCAAAGATACAATCGTGAAGATTAAACTGTTTACAGAGTTGCTTTTATGAATTATATGTAGTGATACGACTATAACACGCACGTTGGAATCACTTGTCTCTTAACGAGATTTATTGGACGATTACATGCCGGCAAGCATCAATGTGTTCTGCTCATACGGTTTACAAGCTAAAACAAGATTTTCACAACTGATGAAAACAAAAAAATCCGTATATATTGCTGTTAGGCAATTACTCGTAATATAATTTATAAAATATACAGATAGAGACAGAGAGAGAGAGAGAGAGAGAAGCAATTAAATGTAATTTATAAAATATACAGGGGAAAAAAGGAAAACGTATTTCTTTCGTGTGTATTACCTATACATTCAACAATTCAAGTAATTAAAGGAAATAAGTAAAAAACAAAAAGAGAAGGTAACCCGAATAACATGCGTATCTAATACATATTAAGAACAAAAGAAAACAATTTGTTTTTTAAAGTCTCGTTTTTTCAAAATTAGAATACAGTGGTAATAATGTATGCACTTCAATATTACTCCAATTATGCTACATACCTGTCTTACGTGAAAATATTATAATTTTCTTTAGAGAGTAGATACAATATTGCGGAGAAATTATTGTGTATGTATATGACTACTAGTTTGCATCTAGTATAATCACAGATAATCTATAAGAGGTAACTTTTCATGTAACTTTTTCCCTAGGGCAAAAACGTGAAAAAGAAAAATGACAATTTTTTGTATGCAGAGTGTTCCATTTTAACTTTGACATCAAACTATCTCGAAAATTATAAAAGATACGGAAAAATATTTCAGACAAAAGTTGTAAGGTTTAAAAAGATCTATTTACTGATCATATCCAATTGACATTGGGTGGCGTTGCCAAGGTTAGGTCAAGATCAAATTGATTTTTTTAAATACACTTTTAAATCTTATATAGTGTCAAATTAATTTAATGTGAGTCGCCACTGCTCCTACTCAATAATATCGTTATTTTTTAAACAATGGTTATATTTGACATTATACAGTATTAATTTAACATTATATAGTGTCAAATTTAATTATTATTTTAGTAAAAAATATAACGATATATTTAGTAGGAGCAGTGGCGACTCACATTAGGTTAAATTTGACACTATAGATTTAACAGTGTAGAACACTCTTTTATTTTTGATGGTAGAATCTAATAGCCGGTGTCAAGAGCTTTTCAAAACACTATAATAAAGTTATTTTCCATTAAATACTTTAAATTATAAAACTTGGAAGTTACAGTATCACCAACATTAGCATTATCCAACGTGTCCAACCGACGGCTAAAACCTCTTGAATGTTGTTCGAGATCATGTCCTGGATAACATTTGTCAAGATCAAGGCCATTGGAGGTTGTATCTCCTATTTTCATTTGTATGTAAAAATGTTTTTAATACAAAAATGAAAAGAGGAATAAGAGGAATTTCTAATGCTAAAACTTTGCTCTATCGAATGATATAATTGCCAATTTTACTAGAAAAATAGAATATATAAATTTGAGTTAAAAATATGACTATACTTTCATTGTAATCATTGCGCAATAGTTATAGAAGGAAAGTATAATATTGTATTTTTAGTTCAAATGCATATATATTCTATTTTTTTTTAAATTGACGTTTATATCACTCGATAGAGCAACGACATTTCAGCTTTAAATGCAGAAATTGCATGGTTATATTGTTTTGTAAATAAATAAAATATTTCGGGTTGAAACTCTTGATATTGTTTAAATTTTTGTGTATAAAAATTTATAATTACAAGCATACATATAATTAACCAGCTTGATTCATCAGCTCTTCTTCCAATTTATGTTACTGTTAACAAAATATATTGTTCCCTTATTTTATTAAACACCTAATTTTTGCGTCGCAATGAAACTTATAATTGCATTTTAAATACTTAAAGTACTTATACAAAAAAAGTTGAGATTAATTTTGTCATTTATATATACTTTTCAAATTTTAGTATTGTAATAAGAAAATAATAACAAATAAAGTAAATAAACTATAAAAACGTGTTTAATAAAAATAAAATGCTTGAAATACAACTTAATTCATATGTATATAGCTTATTTAAAATATAAATATTAACACATTTGTAAAAATATAATATAACCTTAATGTTAATACTTTTAAGCGAAATAAACATCACGCGCATGTAAGATTGCAGAGATGAATATTTCTGATGCACAATTTGTGAATGTAGCACGATCTGGAGTTGAAAAGTGGACGTACTAACCTCAGAAAAGTGGACGTATTACCCTCAGAAAAGTGGACGTATTACTCTCAGAGCCATGTAGTTTACATCCATTTTGTCAGGGGGCAGTAGTGCGCGGCAGCATTTTGCGGTTACAGGTTTGGGGCCAGCATGTCCTCTCTCAGGTTTCTCTCTCTTCATGATAGTGTGTTTGAACACGTGCATTATTCTCTCGCGTAAAATTAAAAATATTGTCAAAACATGCAAGAAACTGTGAAAATGGAGATCGATGATAGCGTGGTGAAGGACGAAAATATCGATGCTCCAGAAATCAGTTATGAAGAAAA